TGGCTGCCTCCCTGGCGTCGGTAGCATTAGTGCTCAGATCGACGAAAAACAAGTTAAAGTATAAAAAAACCTTGTACATCAGCCCGAGTACTGAAAGGTTAAAATTCATGTTAATATAGACAACGGAGTGATGACACATTTTCTTTATCCGATATCCCTAACAATTTCTTCTAATTTTCATTTGTATCAAGATCATTTTTTTCTGAAACATTTTTTTAATTAAATTTCTTGTTTTTCACAATTCTGTCTTATAACCTATTCATCCAGATAGCATTTGGTCTAGTGACTTTAATCTCTGTTACTCAATAAATTCTAGGATTTTGAAATCATAAGATGTATCAAGCTTAAAAAAATGTGAGCTTTCAAAGTATCTCGAAAGATCAATGATTTGTTTGGAATACATTAACTGACTCATAGAGTTCAATTTTTACATTCAGCTTTAAAAATACTTTCTGTAATTTTTTCTACAAATAACTATCGAAAATTTACAGTTGGTCGCCATTTTAAAAATGCGTTCAATTTAGTTTTTTGTTGAAAACCGGGAATTTTAAAATGAAAGTTCACTGGCCACCCTGCTTATACCAATACCATATGCATTTCAATTTGGGATGACAATTATTCTACAGAGAGTATTACGTATTTCAACTGAGGTCCGTTCGCTTCTCGTATCAATGAAATGTATTCGAGTGAAGCATCATCTAATTACAAAACAACCCTACCGTCATCCGGTTGCAGCTTTCATTTGAAGAAGCGATTTCGATCTTCCGATCTCAATGATCTGTGGTTTCATTCGAATAGAGGATGTTGTTTTGGTAAAGTGTAGTAGTCATGAATTTGAGCTCTATTCAACGGATTCTACGCGCCAGGAAGACCATTGTTGCCTTCTGAACAGTTGATTGAGCATAATCATAAGATATAAGTAACTCGAATTATTAATAACTTTTGTTCCTGAAATTTGATGCCAAGTCAGTTCTTAATAAATGAGTTCAAATTTTGGGAGGCTAATAAGGATCCAATTTGGAACCGTTTGAGCGCTGTGGAGCGAAAGTTTCAAATTTTGCATCAATCTATTATACATAGTTAATAATTTTCAACAATTAGTTGAATACCCTCGGCAACTCGGGATAATTTGATGAATTTCTCATTATTCACTCACTCACTTACTTCTCACCCATCCGCTTCTCACGTCCTGCGTCCATGGTGTATAATTCACGTATCTACACAATCATAATCTAATCTCATTTTTCTTTTTGTCATTCCATTCTCAGTGGATCCAAAAGAAGAAAAAAATAAGCGTTACGGACAAACTTTCGAATTAACTTATTAGAAGATTGTAAGAGAATTGCAGAGGGGATAAAATCGTTCAATAGCGAATTACTAGAGTGTTATACAGCAAGTTGTAAGGGAATTCCAGATAGAGTTCTAAGATGAACTCTCAGGACATTTTCAGATGATGGAAAGGAAATATTCTAGAGAAAATTCTAAACAAATCCTGAGAGATAAACCAGTCCAGGGTTGAATAGAAAGCCTTTTTAAAAAGAAGATACAATTTTATAACTCCTTTGAAAGAAATGTACTGAATTTTTCCTTAAGTGGCTGGTACTTTAGGTTCTTATGGTTGACTTGTCTTCGCTTTATAAAAATATAACGGTTTTTGCTAGTTCTACCGGAATTTTTATTAAGTTGACATTTGTAACCTTCGAAGCTACAGTTAGTTCAACTTCTGAAAACATTTTAAATATTATCGATTTAAATAAAAACTTATTTTAATTACTCAATATATTTAAGCTTTTGTTTTAGCACTTGTTTCTCAAACACATTTTTGCATTTTAAAACACAAACAAAACATCGTCTATGAAAAAGAGGGTTAATAATTTTGATAAAGTCTAGACTAACATTTGAAAAGGGTGGAATCCAAAATCAGCATATCGAGAAAACCGCTTCCGAATTTTGATGACCAAAAAATTAATCCTATTTCACAACTTCCCATTTTCTTGATGGTTTAATTATCTTGACTTATAGTTACCAGTGTAATCTAACATCGTGCGTCACTAAAAACACAAAAACAGTGTTTTGTACCGTGAAATTAAGAAGAAAACATCATACGCCCTAATAATGACTTAATTGTTGTTACCTCCGGATCTTCCACCCTTTGAAATGCCAACACTGGTGATACGCCGTGGAAAAACACCCTCGGGATTTTTTGTTTGTTGTTCCGCCTTGGTTCTTCCTTCGCAAATTTTGTGAGAGGGGAATTATGCCCGGAGATTTTTTTTTTTGGTCTCCTTTTTGTTCGTTGTTTACACGTGAAATATCGATCGGTTGCATTTCAAATGAATCGGACGTGACTAGATACTAAATAATCAGTACCTTTTGCATATTAAAACATTATAATTCGTAGTTTTGGTGTGAGGCGTAACAATCAGATGCATCATAGAGCGGACAACTGGAAATACACCATGTTAAAGGAAATATTTTTGATGATTTGAAATGATGTTTTCTACTACTTTTTCGTGTTTATTGAGTAATTTGTGAACTGTTCCCTCTATATGCGACAAAATATAATTTTTTCCTCCCCTCTGAATTTCAATGAAATTATTTCATTCTATTTGCGATCAAAAGTTGTCCCTCGTGACGAACATAAGAACTATCATAATGCTGATGGTTTGAAAATTCCTTCGTGATGAGGCAAAGAATTAAAAAAACGCTTGCATTATATTAATTAAGCATTTTAATTAAATTTAGTTTTTACTACAAATTTAAAATCCATGCAAAAACTGAAAAAAAAAATGTTATCCGTCTATCCATAAAGTTTTTTTTTCCACCGTAGTAAAAACCAAATTTAATTAAAATGCTTACTTCTTAAGGTGATACGATACGTCACGCTTTTTTTGCTTTTTTTCTCTCCTTTCTATGTGTCAGTGAATTGATTATCATTGATGCTGTAGTGGTGTGAGTGTACATCATGCACTACCGCAACTACCGTAAACATAGCTTCTAGAGTTCATTATTATCAGGTCGAATGTGTAAATGTTAATTAAAAAAATAGAAAGGCAAAGAATTGCCAATATTATCGACCTACCACTTCCCAGGACACCCCTTCCTATAAAGAAAATAATTATGCGCCTAGCCACCAAGACCAACATGTCAAGTCATCATAGTAGTTAATTGATTCAACATCACACTTTGTACACTTTTGTTACATACGACCTGTCCAAAAGTGATTCCAGAGCTCAAACCTGCGGGTACACGGTAAGAAAAAAGATCCCAAAGTGACTCATTTTCACAAATCTCGGCACTATATTGCAGGAAGCCAAAAGTAGGTAATGTGGGTGAAGAGTTTTCATTTACTTGTGTTCAATTAGTATGGAATTGACAATTCTCTTCTACCCAAAAATAGTTAGTTGTACCCAAAAGTAGGTGTATATGATTATACTCAAAGTCAAAAGTAGGCAAAAATGAACTGGCCATTGGATATTTTTTCTTATCGTGTATGTTTTTGTTTTAGAATCATCCTTTTGCCGCCTTTTGCATATCAGCTGATTGCTTCGAGCAGTGCACTCAGAACGACACATATGTTTTCTATAGAAGATTTCTAGATTTATTTACTTTCATTTTTTGTCTTGAGAAACAAAATTAGAAATTGTTTTAAACATTTATTAGTGATTGTTTCTAAATTGAACACATTTTAAGCACATTAAAAAGCAATAAAAGCATTGTTTTTACACAAGTTGATTCAATTAAATCGACAACACTGGATACGATGATAGATGATTCGTACACACACCTTCGCAATGCGGTGTGTAGAAAAAGGTAAACAAAACAGTTTCAGCTTGCAAAATTATTCGCGGCTCGCATTTTTAACGATGCAAATGATATTATTTAAGCAAATATCGTCTTTAAAAGTTAATTAACTTGAAAGTGCTTGTAGAAGCACGTGTCGTAATTGTTTTTAGTGTGGTTCTGAGAAGTGAAAACTAGTGAAAACAGTTATTGAAATTTGATGCCCTGGACAGAACAAAATCGACTGATCGTACATTTTAATGCAAATATTACCAATGCGTGAATGAATTGGCAATATTTTGGTGGAAAAGTATCAAAATATGTATCCAGATCTTATTCATACAATTCAGGCCCATTTTTTAAGGTATGTAATTAGTAATATACTGTTTTGTAGGAAGATGTCTTTCGTACGCATATCAAAACACGTTTATTTAATGATTGTAGGGACAGCCATTGTTGGATGACGTGCAGTATCACCTTAATATATAAGCATTTTAGAAATTGTCTCTCATCGTGAAGATATTTTGAAACCATCATCACTTCGATAGTTCTTACATTCGCCGGGAGGGCCAACGTTTGATCTCCAATACCGCAATAACACTTTCGATTTCATCTCACATCTGCGCGCTTGAGGCACACTCTACTGTCCACTCTGTTGTATGCACGTACAATGTACATACACGGCCAATGAGGTCAACCCAAATTTGAGTTCAGTTTACTCATAGTCGCAAAAATTGCAGGAACTCAGATGAGTAAATTTGCCTCATGTATTCCTGTGGAAAACCTCAAAAATCAACCGGAAAATGAGATAAATTGACGAATGTTTTACTCAGTCTAGGATAAATATCAATAGACTGAGAGAAGCAAATCTTTGTTAATCCCATATTCGAGAAGTTTTTCCTGAAAATCCTGCAAAACATGATGCAAATTTACTCATCGCTGTGTTCCTGCACTTTTTGCGATCTATGAGTAAACCGAGCCCAAATTTGGGTTGAACTCAATGACCGTGTAGGCTCATAAAAGATGCTGTTAAGCGCTGAACCAGTCGCCGCGTTTGTTTCCATGCATCCCGTTCCATTCAACCGTGTCCCATATGGTCTAGTGGCTAGGATATCTGGCTTTCACCCAGAAGGCCCGGGTTCGATTCCCGGTATGGGAATTTTTTTTCATTCCATGTAATTGCTCACGTTTTCCTTGTTTGTCCCGCGTTGTTGTAGGTCGTTTCGGTAACCAAGCTGATCACTATCTGGGTGCGTTAGGTTTTGCTCACGGATTAAATCGGACGCTGGTGCTTCCACCGTGGGTGGAATATAGGAAAGGAGCGGCGAATTCCATTCAGGTGCCGTTTAATACGTACTTCCAGGTGGCACCATTGATGGATTATCATCGGGTGATTACGATGGAGAACTTCATGACACATTTGGCGCCATCGTTGTGGCCACCAGAGGAACGGATTTCGTTCTGCTACACGGAGAGGATGGGTTTGGATGGGAGCAAGGGTGGTGGATGCAACGCCAAGAGTGGTAATCCGTTCGGGCCTTTCTGGGATACGTTCCAGGTCAATTTTGCCAGGTCGGAGTTCTTCGGGCCCAAGCTGAACTACGATGTGTATCATCATGGCATGGCGAACAAGTGGGCAGAAAAGTATCCAGGTGATAAGTGGCCCGTGATTGCATTTACTGGAGCACCTGCCAGTTTTCCCATTCAGATGGAGAATCGCGAGCTGCACAAGCATTTGAAGTGGTCTTTCAAGATAGAGAATGCCGCACGTGACTTCATTCAAAGCTCACTGCCCAAAGGAGCTTTCATGGGAATCCATTTGCGAAATGGAATCGATTGGGTACGGGCATGCGACCACGTTAAAGAAAGCTCCAACCTGTTCTCGTCGCCACAGTGTCTTGGTTACCGGAACGAGAAAGGATCGCTTACCGTGGACATGTGTCTTCCACCGAAAGACATCATAATTCGTCAGATTAAACGGCAGATCAAAAACCATAAAGAGGCTTATAAAAATAACGAAATCAAATCGGTTTTTGTTGCGTCGGACAATAATCATATGATTCACGATTTGAACGAAGCACTCAGACGGATGGATGTCGTGGTCGTGAAACTGCCGGAGAATAACCCACATCTGGATCTGGCCATTCTAGGGATGTCCAACCACTTCATCGGGAATTGTGTCTCATCTTATACGGCCTTCGTCAAACGGGAGCGAGACGCTAAGGGATTCCCGTCCACATTCTGGGCCTTCCCGGCGGAGAAACATATTGTGAAGACGACGGCAAAGGCAGCCGGTTCAGTGACGCATGAAGAGCTGTGATCATGTGCGGCGTGGAGGGATGATGCTGACGATCGAGGATGAGATCATAGAAAGAAACTGAAGAATTAAGACAAATAAAAAACAACATACGGGGCTACCCCAAGGTTCCTTACGTGAGTGTTTGTATGGAGGCACAACAGCGCCTCTCGTATTGGTGGACGTTGGTTGTTTTGATTTTAAGACAGCAATCACCGTTCGTGCAATATACATAGTGTAGTTTGAATAGGTTTTGTGACTTTTCGATTCTATGGTGTTTTGTTGAGATTGTGTATACAACGCAATATCTCTTTTTCTCTGCGAATGACCTTCTTGTTGCGTTTCTGTGGGCTGGTATTTTGCTTTATAGGCCCACGAGAATCAGTGGTTTGTTTCTGTGAGATGTTCCATTTCGGTTACCAGCGATCTGACGATTAGTAATGCATTTTATGACATAGTTTTTTTTTTTTTTGATGAGTAAGCACGTATGGTTTTTGTTTGTAGTAAACACACAATAGCATTGAAACTGATAGACTTAGGAAGTATTATTTACATAGGAAGGTCAGGTGTTTTGCAGACTGATTGATGAAATGAACATGCAACTACTCAGTAACTCAGTGATAATTAAAAATGAAGATTTAATCTTGGCTGTACAGAAAATCAGTTTTGAACGTGTTTTCTTGTTATCCGAACTTCTATGTCTTGATTGTTTCGTTTTCTATTAGCGAATTTGTTTATTATTCAGTTCCAACCTGGATCGGGTATCAAGATCGGGTCTGCTTGTTTTCTGGCAAACTTCAGTTTGATCGTTTGTTTTTAAAACCTACCTCAGGTTGAGGTTCGCAATGACAAAAACTTCGGTTTCGCACTGGTGCCATCCCCGATAATAAACAAATTCGATATATGAGTATCTCGTTTCATCGGCAACAATATTTCGACAGTGAGCATGCATAAGGGCGAATACGCGATGATCGATTCTCTTCATCGATTTTTTCTTTGCATTGCTACAGCTAAGCGAAACAATTTCCTTGAATTTGTTCAATGCATAGTAGTAACAGGTTGTATTGGCTATCAAAAGCAACAGCAAACGCACCGAGAAACGTTAAATCTAGCGAGTAAATCGACGAAGAGAATCGATCATCGCGTATAGGCCCTTATGCATGCTCACTGTCGATTTGTTTCCGGTAGGTATATGTAGGATACGTTTAGGTTAGGGATAACAACGAATCCTCATCCCCAAACAATTTATTCACAAATTTTGCTACATATCCCCATAAATGAAAAAAAAAATCCAGAAAATTTTATTTTCATTCCATTCCTTCCTTTCTAATTCCTATGCATTCCTATCAATGTTTTTGCAAAATATCCTGAAAATCCCTGTTTATCCTTCTGTCTATTCTAATCCATTCTGTTCATTCCGCTTGCATGCCATCCCAGCGCTGCTAAATATTTTTTTCTGAAATAAAATGCATCCCCAGAAGTGACGTTCCCCCTGGTTTATGTTTAAGAATTATCACAGTGGAAATACATATAGTATAAAATCGAAAAGAAAACTATGTAGAGCATCCCTGTCAAACATTTTACATTTAGCCATTTTACATTTACATTTAGCCATTTCAACAAAATGGTTGCAAGCAGTTTTCATATTAAGTTAAGCTAATAATTTAATATACTCAATTTTGTATTAACGCGATTATCACTTTTTTTTTTCAAATATGACCTTGTTTAGAATGAGAACAGAACTTCAGGTAAGCATAGATAAGTTCAGGGAAAAGCGAGTGTTAATAATGGTTATAATACTTAAGGAACATTTTCCAAACTCCAAGGCAAATTAGTTAATTTCAGTAAAGCTGCGGGTTCTTAAAAAATACTGATAAATTCAGGGCAGTCTAGAGAACTTTAAAGAAATTCAGTAATCGTTTAGGCACCAGGCAAGTTTAGACTGTTGAAGAAGTTTTAAATTAGTGTCGATAATTTAAGGGAAGTTTTATGAACTTCAGAAAAATCTTGAGAACTTCAGTGAAAATCATAGAACTATATTAATTATTTCGTTCTAATTCCATGAAAATTGCGGAAGCACAAAAGTTCCATAAATTTAGAAAAACTTCGGAAACTTCACAGAAAGACAGTGGTCTTCAAATACCAAAAATTATTTTTTTTTTTAATTTATTTCCTACTGAAGATTAATCTACTGTGAATCTTTAAAGTGTGAATGAAAATAACCAGAAAAATTAAATGGTTGTATTTTAAAATTCATTATTTTCTTTAAATGATCCTTAGTAAGAACATTTTCAAATTGTTTGAGAATTCCAGGTATTTTAAGGAAACAACAAATTTACTGATGATTCTCGTATTTCAGATTTTTGAAGTTAGTAGACACTGTGACTAAAACCTTGGGTTTGATTATAAACTTTCCATTGAATCTTTCGTTTTAAAGGTTCATATCATACATAATTGTTTATGAGATAACAATTGAATAAGTCATTTACACCAAATATTTATTTGATGCGCCATCTCTTAGGTCATTTTTAGTTACTATTTTTACAACTATAAGTCACTATTTGGTCACTTATTTATTCTACATGGTCACTAAAATCACTATTTCTGACAGCAATGATCGTTACCAGCCCTGCATTATTTTTCTCTACAATTTTGTCTCATACGTCATTTCGATCAAAAATGCTGTTTCCGCGCAACAATTTTTTTTTAATTTCAAAGACGCCATTTTAAAAATTTTACAAGATCTAAAATGGCTGAATTTTAGCAAAATTTTGAATAATTGTCCATAACAAACAAACATGCAAAGTTCAAATCGGAGAAGGTCGAGTTTATTCGATTTTTCATTTGGCGTTTTCGTCCACGACTAGCTTGCAGCCTTCCTCAGTGCCAATTAGTTATGCATCACTTGGCACTGAGAAAGTCTACAAGTAGTGGACGAAATATGCGCATCTGTCAAAAGATAAGTAATTATAACGGAATTAAAAGGAAATAACTCAACCCACTCAAAAGCTCTTCATAAGGGATTCCGTTAAAGAGGTTCGAACAAATTAAAAGATATTCAAATTAAGCCTAATAAGATACCTAGCATACATTTATTTTCACCTTAAACAACTTCAATCTCGTTAAGGTTTCATCCGCACCACCTCTACATAGCTTTTCTGCCTAATTTATTTTTCTGTTTTCGCTTCAAAACTCGATATTTTTGAAAAATAAACAACGATTGAAATACCCGTACGGTAAATGATGGTTTCGGCATCCTTTGACTGATGTCGGCAACCAAATCTATAAACATTAATTTCGCTGTATTTTTTTTTACCAAAACACTTCGGTGAATGTATTTAAACGATTCTTTAGTCTTTCAGCTTCAATCTGATTACATGTTTACGACTGAGCCAGGTTTTTCGTCAAATGAAACATACGCACTACAAAATACGGCTATTTTCGAGTTGCCGATAATAGAACAGCTGGTTGACACGCAGTTCAAATGGAATGGTTGCTGAATAAAAAGAGGCTGCCGGCAATAGCCACAATTTAGAATTTGAATCCCTTAGCTCAGTCGGTAAAGGCGCAGCTACAAAGCAAGACCATGCTGGAGGTGGCTGGGTTCAATTCACGGTCCGGTCTAGGAATTTTTTGGGTTGGAAAATTTCTCGACTTCCCTTGCCACACAATTATACCAATGCAAAAATGGTACAGGCATCGAAAGCTCTCAATTAATAACTGTGGAAGTGCATCTGAAATGCGAAGAAGAAGAAGAAGAAGAAGCGTCGTAAAAACGTTTTCAAACCGTTTTGGACAATTCTGTCGATTGAAATGGATACAATAGCAAGCAGCAGATAGATGCAGGGCTGTTACAAGATTTTCTAAATTTGATCCGTGAAATCCGCGATTTCTCAAAAGAAATCCACGACTTCAAATACTAATCCGCGACCAAAAAAAACTGTTTTCATTGCCTAAAATTACCATTTGTAAACTACTCCATGGCATTTCAAGCTTATTGCTTATAGCATATTATATTTTTGCCTACTCTCAACTTAGTATTCTATGAAGTACTTTCACATTTTAATTGAGAGCTTTCTATGCCTGTAACCATCCTATGCCCAAGGAAGTAGAGAAATTTATCAACCCGAAAAATTAATAGACCGGACGGGAATCGAACTCAGTCTCCTCCAGCATGGACTTGCTTTGTAGCTGCGCCTTTACCGACTGAGCTAAAGGAGTATCGTTTGTAACCTTTAAAAAAAAAAATAACATTGTATCATCTTCAGTTATTTATGTATAGTATAAATTCTGAGTAATTAGTGAACATAATAAAACACCCTTACATTATGAGATTCTATTGAATAAAATCGGCCTGGATTTGAACATTATTTTAAAAAAATAATCCATAATTCCATATGCACATAATTTCCATAATTCATTTGAAATGCAAATTTTCTTCAAAATCAACCTTTGCGTCTCTGACGTATTTTGCTGTCCTAAATGTTGCAGTTAATTTGGCTCTAGTTTTCTCAATTTTTTACCGATTCAAACCAAACACCCAGTTAGATTTAAACTGCTGCTCGTTTTCCATGGATTTATTAGTTTTTTGAGATTCCGTTTGACCAAGGCCCAATACCGTGCGATAGGGCGGAGTTCTGGGCTGTTGGGAGGGTTGTGGTCTTTAGGTACCACAACCACGTTGTTCGCATCGTACCAGTCGATTGCCTTTTTCCCATAGTGGCAGCTCGCCAAGTCCGGCCAGAACAGCACAGGTGTATTATGTTGCTTTAGGGATTTTTTTTTCTTTGTTCGGGACATAACACTACTGCGACCAGTAATTTGATCTATTGTAGTATAGCCCGTGTCCTTAGTTTAGTGCATGTCGTATTACTCCATCACTATTGAGAAATGATGAAGTATTCGGTGCTGATACAGTTGTCATTCTTGCCTTCATCGCAAGGAATCGATTCTAAATGAAAGGTCCCGCTATTTATACCCTTCGGAGTGTTGGAATACCCTCCAAAGGCGCGCCCCTTTGTCAGTCGAAATGGGATTCCTTAGCAATAAAAATAAGCAATGACACCGATAATGACCATGCATCAGAACCCTAGTCTTAACCACTTCAAACTAGAGAACAATGAATAGAAGATTAGGAATCACATAGATGAAGACTAACTAACTCATTTTTTCCTTGTTTCAAGATCATCCTCGGTACAGGCAACCCGAGGACTTATCACTATGAACAAGGCATAAAAAGTAACAAGGACTAAGATGTGTTCCTTTGATTACTGAAAAATCCTGTACCCCTAGTTTGAAGTAGTCAAGACTACGATTCGGTGGTAGATCTTACATCCCGTAACGTACCACGAAAAGGTGATCTACCCACGTTACGGGGCTGCTTTAGGGATGGTAGCAGCCGCTTTTCCAGGCACTGCTGGATGTAGATAACTTGATTGATGGTTCCCGTAGTAATGAAAATGCCGCTTTTTAGACCACACGTGCATGTGGCCTGCCAGACGAGATATTTTTTTTCGGGAACTTCGATAGTTTGATGGTTTTTAAAAATTTCAGCCACCTTCCCTTTTCATGATGCGGTATAAAACTCCTGTCCTGGAAGCTGCTTGAAATCCGCCTTCACATAAGTTTCGTCGTCCATGACGACACAGTCGAGC